GGATTTGGCACGGTGAAAGCGATGTGGCTACAACATCTAACATGTATGTTGACAATGAAGATGATGAGTCTGAAGATCGGTTGGATGAAATGTTTCGCGATGTTGGAGAAGAGTTTACCAATCGGTCAAATGAGTTGGATGAATTATTGAATGATTCAAAACAACCTTTATGGCCAGGGTGTAGTAAATATACCAGATTATCTGCTGTATTAAAATTATTCAACTTGAAAGCTGGGAATGGGTGGAGCGACAAGAGCTTTACTGCTTTACTTAAAATAGTCAATGATATGCTTCCAGATGGTAATGAACTTCCCAAGAGTACATATGATGCCAAAAAGATGTTGTGTCCCATGGGTATGGGATACAAAAAAATACATGCTTGCCCTAACGATTGCATATTGTTTAGGAATGATTACAAAGACTTGCATGCATGTCAAATATGCGGGGCATCTCGTTATAAAACAAGAGAGAGTGGTAAAGTACGTTTGAAAAGTCCACCAGCTAAAGTTTTGTGGTATCTCCCAATTCTTCCAAGATTTAAGCGCATGTTTGCAAATCCAATATGGAGACCATCGATGTTTCTCTAATTCAGTTCTTTATGAGGTAATAAGTTCTTTAGTATTATTTATTCATAATAGTTTTATATTTATATAGTTGGTAATCTATATATAATTGGTTGTGTTTGTGAATAGGGGTATTTACATTAGTTTTGAGTTGGCATCAAAAGACACGTATGGCTTCCTAGATCCATATTGGATTCAACCACAAATGAATAATATGGAAGACAGGAAATCATATATAAATGCCACCATGCAGTCGGGGAAGAAATTGGTATACTTAGCCCCATATGTTCTCAAGTAAGTATTAATTACGTTTTAAATAAAAGTACTTATATATAATATATTTTTATTATATATTATATTCACTTAAAACTAATAAATTATTTATTTGTAGTGAGCATTGGATGTTGATGGCGATTTGTCCTCGACTAAATGAAATTTTTTGGTTTGATTCACTTGGTCATGGGCCGCGTGAAGACATTAAACATATAATGGAAACGTATGTAAATTTATATAATTAATTAATAGTTATCATTAAACTAGTGATGCCAAGTATTTATATATATTCTATGTCTTATATTAATAGGTGTATGACTGCAACAAACATGATGAGTGGAAAGAAACAAAATCGTTCACCAAAATGGACTATATGTTCGGTAAGTACTTCATTCACTTTGTAAAACATGCAAACTTATTGTTTTTTTTTTATTAATTTATTTTATTTTTATTGTAATTCAATGTAGTGTGCTATACAAAAGGGAACCACCGAATGTGGTTATTATGTGATGAAGTTCATGTTGGAAATTGTTTCCAACAATCTAAGCAAAGGAATGGATAAGGCAAGTAATTTCTTAATATATCTTTTGGCTTCAAATGTTTAAAAATACTTGCTTATTTATTAATTTTATTTCTTTTGAACTTTGTAGGCTTTGGAAAGACAAGGAAGATTGCCCTACAACAAAAAAGAGATTGATGAAGTTAGAGACAAATGGTCTAAGCTTCTTATTGATGAATGGGTTAATAAAACGCTTCTTAGTTGATACTTTACGTTTAAAATTAGTTTATGTTTATTGGCTTAACGTTTAGTAGTTTTGTTGAATTGTGGTACTTATATTAGTTTTATGTTTAGTAGCTTGAATTAGCTTAATGAATTGTGTTCTTTATATTAGTTTCATGTTTAATAGTTTGATACTTTACGTTTAAAATTAGTTTATGTTTATTGGCTTAATGTTTAGTAGTTTTGTTGAATTGTGGTACTTATATTAGTTTTATGTTTAGTAGCTTGAATTAGTTTAATAAATTAGTTGATGTTGAATGCTGAATGTTAAATTGCTAGCTGCGCAGGGTTTGAAAATTGATACAGGTGGGGTAGAAAACATAAAACGCATATAAATAAATAAAAAAAAGAACATACGGCGTCGGTTTTTACCTAAAAACCGACGCCTTAGGTTAATTATTATTTTTTTTAAAAATAATAAATATATACGGCTTCGGCTTTTAGGTAAAAGCCCAAGCCGTATATATTTATTATTTTTTTTAAATATATATATATATATATATATATATATATATATATATATATATATATATATATATATATATATACGGCGTCGGTTTTTACCTAAAAACCGACGCCGTAGGCTAATTATTTTTTATTTTTTAAAAATAATAAATATATACGGCTTCGGTGTTTACCTAAAAACCGACGTCGTATGTAAATTATTTAAATATATATATATATATATATATATATATATATATATATATATATATATATATATATATATATATAATTAAAAAATTATGAAATATAATTCTATAATTATGAACATAGATTTGTGAACATAAATATGAACATATAGTTTTGTAATTATGAATATATAAATTCAATAATTGTGAATATGAAGTTAAAAAATTATGAATATATAGCTTTATAATTATGGACATATAGTTCAGTAATAATATGAACATAAAGTTCTGTAATTGTGAACATAGAGTTCAATAAATATGAATATGAAGTTCAAAAATTACGAATATATAGTTTTATAATTATGAACATATAGTCAGTAATTATGAATAAGAACCGTGTTCACCTTGCAAGGTGGACACGGTTCCACAACATAATGATTGCCAAAATGCCAACCAAGTTGATCACATTGTTAGCTTATACCATAAGATTTCAAGTTCAACTCCGAGGGCGGCCTATTGATTTTTTTGCTTTAAGCCAGTCAACTATGAGCAATTTGCCATACTAGTCCTCTTTGTGGTCCTTTGTCAGCGAAGGTTACAAGATGAAATTTATCTTGTATACATTTTTAGAGATTATAGTTACGGGCTTGATGTCATAAGAGTATTGATTCTATACCTACAATAAATTAAAATTTGTGTTGAAACATGAGAAATGAAAACTACATAATCATTTAAAACTTAAATGTCAAAGCGACACCATTTTGATCCAGAGGCTATAATGTTATGTGAACCTGATCCACAATACAAATTGCAATTGGTTGGCCATGTGATCGGTGTTCTCTAGAGATGAAACTCCAAATTCACCTTCCTGGCAGCAAGCCGGCTTTATTGAAATTTTCACACAGAAGTTAATGCCTTTGTCTTTTGCTATTATCACAATCCACTACCCTCAAACTTCTTCTCAGTTCTCATAACTCACTCTTGTACCTACCTACCTAGCAGCTCAAACTTGCAATTGCATTTTCCCATTGAAGAAATCACAGAAAAATTAAAGAGTGGGATGGCTTATGTTGCTTTAACTTCTCTAAAGACAACAATTGAGCTTCAGTTTCTGCTGCAACCCATCCCAAGAGTTTCTCTTCATGGCGATCAAGCACCCATCAATGCTTTCTATGCAAACCTTTCTTCTTTGCAGGAGTTTCTGGAAAAGAAATCCAGTGCCAGTGCTGCTGCAATCAAATATTTTGAAACCATAATAAGAGAATTTGCACTCAAAGTTGAAGATGACATCGAACTACAAGTAAGCAACTTTGTTCTGGCCAAAGACGCAGTGAATCAAGAAGCAGCTTCCCAGCAACTGTGTCAAATCTTGCAACAACCACAAAAAAAGACAGCAGATGTGTTGGAGATTATCAAGGAATTGGACGAAAAAGAGTATAATGAGAGAGAGAATGGTGATTATTTAACTTATCATCTCATGGGAATAATAGATCATCATATTAAGTCTCTACGATCCAACGCGAGGGTGTTTTATGATAAAACCCTATTCAGATCTTTCATTGAAAACCTTTATTCTTTGCGAGGATTTCTTCATACATCCGGACTTCATGTTGCTGCTATCAAAGAAACCAAAGTAAGAGATTTAGTTGTAGATGATGATGACATCAAGATACAACTGAGTAGTTTAGTTCTGGCCAAAGACACAGTGCATGAAGAAGAAGCTTTCCAGGAACTCTTTCAAACCTTGCAACAAGCAGAAGAAAAGAGGGTAGAGCTGGTGGAGATCATCAATAAAGAAAAGGAGAGACAGAAGACTTGGGAATGTTGTGATGATTCAACTAAAAAAGAAGAAGAAGAAGAAGAAGATACTCAGTCTGAATTTGAATTCTCGCAGTGCTATCCACAACTTGAGGGCAGAATGATTGGTCGTGAAAATGACGTTAGTATGATCAAGAATCAACTCTTCAGTCGATTTGATGGTGTCAAAGTAATCCCAATTATTGGGATGCCAGGCATAGGGAAGACTACTTTAGGAAGAAAAGTCTTTGAAGATCAACCAGTTGCATTGCATTTCCGGGAACGAAGATGGTTTACAGTGACTCAGAAATACAATAAGGGCAAAGTACTAGAAGATCAGACCATATCCAGTCAATTTTACCAAATCATGAAATTATAAAGGGAGACCCTCTTTTGGAGCAGGTTCATAAATGCTTGAAGAAAAAGCCGTATCTAATTGTTTTTGATGACATATGGAGCACTCAGCATTGGAATGAATTATTTTGGAATAATTTTCCAGTGAATGGAAGTTGCATATTGCTGACCACTAGATTCTATAGAGTGGCTGAGTATGCTATTGCTTACACAATCAAAGGTACTACATATCATCATTTTATGAGTTTACTAGATCCAAATGAAAGTTGGGATCTATTCTGTACTATCTTTCCTCTTCAAAGGTATAAGGCACCGAGTTTTGGAAAATTCAGGACTCACTTGTTCCATGTTGTGGAAATATGTGAAGGATTGCCACTGTTAATTGTTGTAGTTGCCAAGCGATTATCTGAATGTAAAAACAACATACAACATGATTTGAAAAAGATTGAAAAGGAAATAGAATTGTTGGGAATTCTAGATTATAGTGCACTTGTTCTCATGTACAATCAGTTGCCAGAATATTTGAAAGGTTGTTTTCTATATCTTGGAGTCTTTCCAAAGCGCAGTGAGATCCAAGTTAAAATACTTCTTAGATTATGGATTGCTGAAGGATTTGTGAAGCCATCAAAGAATAAGGAGTTAGAAATGATTGCTTATTGTTACTTAAAGGACCTCATTGATAGGAGTCTTGTCTTAATAAGCAAACAGACTGTTGATGGCAAAATTAAGACTTGTAGGGTGCACAGTGTCATGCATAACATCTGTTTCAGAGAAGCTCAAAAAGAGGGAATTTTATGTGCAGTAAATACTCGGCAACTCCCAAGGTGGTCATTAAATGCATTTGCAAATTCATGACGTTGGTTAAGTTTATGCAAACATAGGTTTGACTATTATGTGTTGTTTAGTTCAAACAACCCTCGCTCCATTTTCTTCTTTCAAGAAGACACTGAAATTTTTGTATCCTTGAAGTTAAGAGTTTTGGCATTTGTTCAATCTTCATTCCTCCAAAGATTGCCAATGCATCAATTGGGGGATTTGATATTTTTAAGATATTTATCGGTAACACAATGGTTTGAGGGTCTGAGTGATGTTGTGTCAAGTAATGTGAATTTGCAGACACTTATTGTTTCCGGTAGTGATAGTGAATCACAAGTTGGAGCACCTATTCTCCATTTGCCATCAACAATTTGGGAGTCACCACAGTTAAGGCATCTTGAACTTGGCACTTGCTATGCTGTCAATCCTCCAAGCATGGTAAAAGAGAATTTGCAAACATTATCTTGGGTAGGTCCAACTCATTGCAGAAAGGAAGTGTATTCTAGTTTTCCAAACATGAAAAAACTGAAAATATTCTGTAAAGAAGAGGTGGAGCCCATCACTTTGGATAAATTGGACTATTTAGATGGGCTTGAGAGTTTAACAATTTCAGTTTGTATTGGCAGTAGTTTTGTAACCCTTCCAGAAAGATGCATGTTTCCTTTACAACTGAAGAAGCTGAGATTGAGTGGGTCTCATGTTTCTGGGTGGGATTTAAAGGTAATTGGGAGGTTGAAATGTCTTATGGTGCTGAAGCTGGAAAATGTGTTCCATGAAGAAGTGTGGAGAGTATGTGAAGGAGAATTTGATGAATTGAACTTCTTTCTCCGTGAAGATAAAATACTCAAGCGGTTGGAGATTGTCGAATATTCTTTCCCCCTTCTTGAACGCATAAGTCTAAGATCGTGTAATTGTTTGGAAGAGATTCCAAGCAGTTTTGGACAAATTTTCTGCTTGAAGTCAATAGATTTGGTTAGGTGTAATCGCCTTTCCATTATCGCTTCTGCCAAAGATATCCAAGAGAAGCTAAAGAAGAATTTTGGAAAAGAAAATTTTGAGGTTAGAAGCAAACAGCTCTGACTTGTTTATTTTTATTTATTTATTTATTTATTTATTTTTTTGCAAATTGTGTTACTATTTAACAATTTATTGTTTTCTGTATTTTGCATTACTTGATGATGCATAGATCAAAGTCCAAGGGCAGGGGCAGGGGCCTGAAAATATAGTAGAGTGTATAGAAGATGTTGAAAAGGCGAATTTTGAGGTTAGAAGTTATGGCTCATTCATTCATTTTATTTTTATTTTTATTTTTATTTTATTTTTTTTTTTTTAGTTCCCAAGAGGGTGAATCCTCAATCCCAAAGAGTTCCCTCACTTTGAGAGGTTGTTCCCACACTCTCGTGGTGTTAGGAACATTGTATTAGGATTTTGATGATACCAATGTAATGTAGAAAGTAGACCCCTAACTATTAGCTTTTTCAATCGTTACTTTCGTCCTAGACGAGAGTTGCCATATATAACTCCCCTGTAATTCGTGTTAAGCTAGACAAACACACGAAATGAGTTATGTCTAGTTGATAGGGTCTCCAAGACGAAAGAACAGCAACGAGAACTAATAAGGAGTTGTCAACTACCTCGAAAGGACAGATTTATTAAGGACGATTCTCTCCAAGCATTCTTACCTTCAACAACAAGAAGAATGTTCTCTCTGTCTGATTTGACAACATCCTAGGAAATTAAGGACCTCAACTTGTGGGACACGTTTGCCAAGGAGCATTAAATGAAGATGTACCAACTCCTGGAGCTAAAGGACAAAACCCTAATGCTTTCCATACCTTCAACGGCTACATGGTACAACCTCATTAATGGAGCATTTAATGCATGAAGCTTGTAACACCCCGTGTTACGACCTTCAATCCCGGATTAATTATTTAATTAATCCCGTTAATAATAATTAAATATGATTTAATTATGTTAGGGTTACCTTTAATTAAATAGTGAGGTCCACCATGAACCGTGGACCCTTGCCCGAATAAGAGTCTTAAGCCTATTAGGAATAAAAGAAGTAGGCCTTTTACTATTCAGATTAGGATTAGGATTCTCTTTAATTAATATGGTCCACTATGGACCATGGACCCTTATCCCTAAAACAAGCCCTAGCCCTATAAGGAATAGAATTAGTAAACCCATACCATTCAGGCCCTAACTAGGAGTCTTAAATATATAAATAGGGAACTTAGGAGGCACCTAGAATCCCCACCACATTAATCTCTCACCACCCAAAGAGTTCCAAGAATTCCCCTAGGAGAAATCAAGAAATCAAGAAAGCTTAAAGAAAGATCCTTCATAGCCAAGGAATTAATTAAGGCTAAGAGGTAACCCATGTCTCAACAAAACCTATTTTCATAGTTATGATTCCCCCTTAGGGTTTCCCCATATTATTGTGTATTAATGATTGGTGATGATTATTATTAATGATTGATATAATGATTCCATGAGGAATCTTGATAATCTTGATGTTGGGAGATTCTTGATAATTATGGTGTTCTTGATGCTTACATGGGGATCTTGATGATTATTTGGAATTCTTGATGATTATGTGATGTTCTTGATAATTGTGTGTTGTTCTTGATGCTTATGCGTTATTCTTACCGAATCTTGTAATTAGAAGACGAACCGTATTCTTGTTGATATAAAAGTGATTAGAACCCTAGGTTGTATCGTATGATATTATTCTTGGTTTATCGGGTGGGGAAATCGCATGTTTGGGTGTTGATTATGTTTAGAAAAGCATAATAGGTTATGTGCCGTTCGTTTCTCGCATTTGATCCGTTAATTATCTACGTGTTGTCGTTAATTGCGTTGTAAAGTGTCTAAGCATGGTTTCGGGTTCCACAACGGTTCCCGGGGCAAAATTATGTGATAAGAGTCAGTGGGGGGTAGGTGGGGGGGTGGGGACCCGCCACCTACCCACGGCCGGAAATAGTATATCCGGCAGCGGGCAGCCGGCGGGCGGGCAGCTGCCCGCCGGCGACCCGCTGCCCGGAACAGTGAGTCCGACGGGCAGCCGGCGGGTGGCCCCCCCCACCCACCGGCTACCCACTGGAAATTCGCCCAACTTGGGATCCCGGCTTCCCCGTTTGATGTTCCCCGTTCCCCGTGGTGTCCCAACGGACTCCGTTTATCGTGCCTATGTCTAGTTTGATGTTTCGGGTACCGTTCGTAGGTTTATGAGTCTATTATATTGCATGCTAGTTGAATTGGTATCCCGTTGACCTAGGTGGAAGAAGTATGAACCCCTTAGGACTATTCTTAGTAAGTGATGGATCACGCATAGGTTTTGTTATACGTTTTCTCCCCCTTCCTAATGTGTAATGTGGGTTGCATGTGCTTGCTATGTGTTATGTGTGTGTTACCCCAATTCGGTTGCGATCGGATTGGTTATCCTGAGCTGCGGTTCAGAAGCTGGCTGCGGTCAGATTGATACTCTTGAGCTGCGGTCCACCGTTTGGTTGCGATCAAACGTTTCTATACGAGCTGCGATTCGTCCTTTTTCCTGGCTGCGGTCAGATGACATTCTCTTGGGTTGTGGTCCACTGTTTGGTTGCGATCAAACACTATGATGAGCTGCGGTTCATCGGTTGGTTGCGATCGACCCCTCCGTGTTGCGATACGGGGCAGGGTGCTGCGGGGCCGTGTCAGAGCTATATGCGCTGACCCTCATGTATGGGCATACGATTGGTCCTGTGGCGCCAACAAAGTGTGTTATGTGTTGTGACATGGACGAGTTGTGATTACGAGTGTCTTGGGGGATGTGACTATGAGATTTATATTGGGGATTGTTCATGTTGGGTTATGATCATTGTTATGCCTTGCCTTATCTACCTTATCTGTTGTGAATTGCATATGCTCGTTATAACTGTTGCTTGTGTCTGGCCTTATCTGTCGAGTCATTCCCGGTTTTAAAAGCTAGAGTTCGTAGGATATATCTTCATGCTCAAAATGGTTTTCGTATATCTATATATATCTCTATATGTATTGTATTTCAACGCGTTGGAGTGGGTTACCAGCATCTCTCGCTGAACAGATATATTTGGCTTTCAGGCACAGAAGATTAAGTCACTGGAGTGCGCTAGAACTTAGAAGTAGATAGTTTCCCTTTTGGCCTGCGTGCCACGTTTACGTATTCACGCTTTGAGGATATTAGTTAGTTAGCCTGTGCACTTGGGTTCTCTAGCCCAGGTGTGGCATAGCACCCCGAACGCTTGTATTTATATCTTGGAATTTAATAAGATTCTACCTTTATTATAAGTTTTAAATGTCTTGAAAATCTGGGGTGTTACAGTTGGTATCAGAGCCTAAGTTTGACCCTAGGATAAGACTCTTAAGACCGGACTTTAGGACACTAGGCTTGAACTCTAGGTACTTAGGAACATAGGATTCAGGAATCTTAGGACGCGCAGTGAGATTGTGAAACCTACACATAACCTTCCCTCACTTCATCCCTCTCTAACTTAAAGGAACCTCCCCCTACGCTTACCACACCAGGTAAGGGTGAGAATAGATATGTTTACTTCCACAACTGGGTAACGTACACTTACCCGATAAATCGCCTCATCCTAACTCCCGTCAAAGGACTTGACAAGGACCGTGACCAAAGAAAAGGAAGATTTGGATGACTACTAAGGAGAGGCGGTGAAAAGACGTTGCATCAAGACGTCAGGACTGCTAAAAGGGACGGACTGCAATACTCACCAACCCAGGGTTAACCACGATAACCCCCGATTCAGACAAATGGCATGCACCTTCCGACAAGTTGCTTTATCTCGGCAAACCCAGGTTGCGGCTACAACAAACAGGAAAGAGAACTAGAACACTGATTAAAGTAGCGGATGAACGACACCATTAGTCGAATCCTTGGGTGCAAGGTAAGTATATCGCGACACCTTGCGACCCCACCACCCCAGTTTAAAATATCATCCGCCCTGAAACCCCAGCATCTTGATACCCCTATTTGTTGAAAACTCCCACCCCGAATCCTTAATTACCGTAAGAGCAAATTCACAACCGTCATGACCTTGCTCACCCCTTGTTGCACCTAACCCAAACCCTCGGAAACCCTAAATTGATATGAGCATTGGAATCATCGCCCTTACTCTAAGTTCATATCTCCACTCCTTTTGGAAACCCTGCTAAAAACCGTAGAGCAGCATAAAGCCCTTACCCTGCCCAGGGGCGTGAAGAACCGACATTCATTAATCCAATATTAGAATAAGTTGTTAGATAGGAACCGGCGAAGTAGGTGGAAGTTACGAATACGTATCATCCCACCCTTGCACGAAAACCGTGAAGGCGTTACGAGAAACCATAGCCGGTACGTACGCCACCGAAGAATGCCATGCGTTGACAAGAGCAGGCAAACAAATACGTTCAAAGTGTCAGGGGCCCTCACTACAGAAAACATTGTCAAATAGGTGCAACAGGCCGAACCTCAAAGAGGACATAAAGCCTTGCTAAGAATTTCATCCACCAAGGAAGGGATGAAACCCAATAGAAAAAGAAAGACCAACCCGAAACCCCCTTGACCCTTAAGAACCCTCGGCAAGGATTAGGAGTCAAGACCTAGGGATTTGACCCACTAACCGACTGGGTCCAGACTCCTGAACATCCGAGGGGAACATGCACGGAAACCATCACGAGAATTCCCTTGGAAGCCATAGAGACAAAGGGGACTTCGACACGGGAAGAGAAGATCAAACGAAAATCTTAGAATCAAACGAAGCCAAGGAAAAGGGATCACCAGTTCGGCTGTACACCACAACCATGCCCCAAACAGGCATAATCACTCGAAGCCAATAGTCCTTAGCCCCTTTCCCTCCCCTTGCCAACCAAGTACCATTTCGTTAAAGAATCCGTCCTATCACTCCAAACCTCGCTCTTGATCCCTCATTACAAACAATCCCGTACAAGGTAGCAACCTTCCTTCCTGTATTACGACCTTGGAAACATCGACCCTATCCGTCCCTCGACTTTGAAACCTAACCCTTGCACTTCTTACATCCCTTTAACCCAGACCAAGAAAACATAGATATATATATATATATATATATATATATATGTATATCTACCTCTAGAACTCGTGCTTAAGGATCAATAAACATTGTACGATGGGTCATCCTTTGTATCCAAGTCCCTTTTATTGTGCACAAGGGCATGGGACTTGTCAGGACATGAATCTGTGCATTTTTGGGGTCTTTCCCGAAG